TTTATTCTCGTTACGGGAGAATACGTGTCAAAGCAATCAAGGCCCTCGCGTTGCCTATAACCCTTAATTACAAGTCTAGCCTTATACTTCTCAATGGAACCGTCAGGTTTCAACTTCCGCCTAAAGACTCACTTGGATCCCAAGGGCTTACTACCCGGAGGAAGATCAACCAGTTCCCAAGTGTGATTCTGTAGGATAGAATCCACTTCACTCTTTATAGCCACTTTCCACATTGGTCCTTCCGTAGAAGTCATAGCTTCTACATACGTTTGAGGCTCGTTTTATAACAAACATGTCAGAAAATCCGGTTCATTTTCTAGTAAACAAGTTAGAACATGCGTATCACATTCTAACATGTACGTCAGAAAATCTGGACCAAAGGATTTTTCAATCCTAACTCGCTTGCTACGTCTAGCTTCGAGCTCGGGTTCTTTTTCAGACCCCCCACTGCCGTTATCCACAACCTCGTCGAATGTTCATTTCGACGTACTAGGTCCCTCACTGGACCTACATGGAAATACATCTTTAAAGAATGATGCATTCCTTGATTCAATTATCGTGTTCTTATGTACGTCCAGATTATGGGACTCGTGTACTAAGAACTGATACGCACTACTGTTATGTGCATAGCCAATAAAGATACAGTCCACCGTCTTAGGACCTATCTTTATTTTCTTAGGTGTTGGCACCAAAACTTTGGCAAGATAACCCCACACTTTCAGGTACTGGTAGGAAGGTTTCCTACCGTTCCACAGCTCATAAGGAGTCTTATCGAGCTTCTTGCGGGGAACCTTATTTAAAAGGTAGTTACTTGTCAAAATCGCCTCACCCCACATACTTTACGGTAGGCCCGAACTTATCAACATGCATTCATCATCTCTTTCAATGTGCGATTTTTCTGTTCGGCAACACCGTTCGATTGAGGTGCGTAAGGTGCCGTACGCTCGTGTATGATACCTACACTTGCACATAAGTCACCAATAGGTGCTTCGTACTCACCACCTCGATCGCTTCTAACCTTCTTAATCCTCTGATTAAGTTGGTTTTCCACTTCATTCTTATAAAGAATGAATTTATCAACGGCTTCATCTTTGCTCTTAAGAAAAAACACATAGCAGTATCGTGTGCTATCGTCGATAAACGTGATAAAATATTTATTACCACCGCGCGATTGTATTGATCTAAAATCACATACATCGCTATGAACCAACTCAAGTGGTTCTGTTTTCCTTTCAATCGATTTAAAAGGAATTTTCGTTAACACAAATCTCGCATTTGTGCTTATCAACTTGAAATGGAGGAATATGGTCCAAGTTAATTAATCTACGTATAGAATTAAAATTAACATGACCCAGTCTACCGTGTCACAAACACGAAGACTCAAGTAAGTAGGCTGAATTAATAACGCTTTTATTAATTGTGGTTATTGCATCGAGCTTGAAAAGCCCATCTAGCACATGACACTTGCCTACGTACATTCCCAATTTCGACAAAACGACTTTATCTAACTCAAACACTAACCGGAAGCCATTCTTGTTCAACAATGAACCAGAAACTAAGTTCTTCCGTAACTCCGGTACGGATAAGACGTTGTTCAGAGTCAGCTCTTTCCCAGAGAACTACTTTGCCCATCGAAATAATATCAACGGTCACGAACTTAATACGCGATTAATTCGTACCGACCACAACGACTCGTTTCAAAATATCTGAGTGACCGAGAAGTCCGTACAAACCCGAAAGGTTAACGAATTGGGACCAGAAACCACACCCGAGTGGTCCACACGCACCGAAACAGTGCAACACGAAAGGAGCTCACTAAAGAACACGAAAGGAGCTCCAATTCTCCAATGTTCAAATTAAGCTATCAAAGCTTAATTACTCAACTTTCGTGTAGCACGAAAGGAGCTCAACTCCCAATTCTCCAAAATAAGTTTTTTCAAAGCTTATCACTTTGTAATGTGCTTGCAGCACATTACTTGAATTAAGCTTTCGTGTTTTAAGCTCAAAGCTTAACAAAAGCACATCTCGTGCTTAACGATTCATTAGCATAAAATGCTAATTAACTACTTGCTTAATTATCCTTTCGTCATTTGGACTTCTCTCAAATAGGTTCACCTTGAGAATCAATTTCTCATTCACCTATTACCCATTTTGAGCGTACCTTATATCTAATTCTTCGTCTCACTACGAAGAACCCGAAACCACTTTGACCCGACCCAAATCGGAAGTGGATCCACATATATTTGCACCACAAGAAAGAAAAATGGTTTGGGAAGAAATTGAAATAGAAAGACCTGTTGAATATGGTCGGTGGTGACAGTGGTGGGATAGAAAGTACCATCATTGGCTTTGGAGAACTGCTAGGAGCTAGCTAACCAAATTATACATGATCTTCAATTTTGGAGCTGAAGCCAAGGTCCCAGCCACCAACAACGATAGTATTAGCAATCTTCGTCTTCTCTCAACCACCACCACCACCACCAAACAGAAGGAATTTCCAGATTGGGTGAGCTCAGGAAGGCACAGGCTTCTTAAGGATCAAAGAGATCAACCCAGATCTCATTGTCACACAAGATGGATCCGGGAATTACACTAGCATCAATGCTGCCTTACTGAATATGATTATCTGTTAACATTTCTGTTAAATATTATTTTTTCCATTAATTTCTGTTAGTTCGTGTTAACTTACTCATTGATTTCAATAAGAAAGGTCTTAGGTTCGAACCTCATCCCAATCAAAGTTGGCATAATTAGTACTCTATTTTACTCTTATTAAATTAAATACTAATTTAGTAGCTACAACAAAAAATAATACATATGCATTTCTTTAATTTAGAATTATTTGTCTACAATGTCTTTATTCAAAAAAAAATTATTCATAATCAATAAATTAAATAAGATAAATAATTTCATTATTTATATTGTCTTTTATTTTTCTCCAATATAAACATTCTTTACATTCAAATTTATCAATTGATTATATTCGCTACATTTTCTATTATCTTTTTTGTGCACTATTTTTTTTTTTAAATTAAATATCAAAGTTATAATACAAAATAATGCTATATATTTATTTACCAAGTATTTTATTAATACCATGAAAAAATAAAAAAAATATAATTAATAAAGTCAATCATATTAACTACTTGAGGGATTTGTTGACAAAGAGAGTATTCAAATCACACAACAAATTGAAGTGAGAACTATCTCGCAATGTCCTTGTTTGACAATCAGCAGTTAGCGATTAGCGTTAGCAGATTATATTAGCGGATTTGACCAGCGAATTATATCAACGGTTGGTAAAAAGATATTTGAAAAAAATTAACTGTTTAGATTAACATGTAAAATGACCTAAGGATATACATAATAATAGTAATAATAATAATAATAATAATAATAATAATAATAATAATAATAATAATAATAATTGTTTAAAAAAAATAAAAAAATATAATTAAGCCAATCATATTAACTTCTTGGGAGATTTATTGACAAAAAGAGTATTCAAATCACACAACAAATTGAAGTGGGAAACTACATCGCAATGTCCTTGTTTGGTAATTAGCCGTTAGCTATTCAATATTAGTATATATTTAATATTTTATGTCATAATTTTTATTTGCTCTCCCTTATGTCCCTTTTTTGGTTTCAACCATACCTATACAATAATTTTATTGATGAATATAATCAATCTTGACTATATTATCTTGCATTTGTAAACTTAGAATTACCTATTTAAATACGCAAATTCAACATTTAATTACCTATGCATGAACAATTCTAAAATAATCTTGCCTTGATATACTTTAAATTACTTATTTAAAAAAAAATATTGGGCATTATTCCAATCGCGCAATGGGCGTAAAAAATTAGTAATTTAATAAGAGTAAAATAGAGTACTAATTATGCCAACTTTGATTGAGATGTGGTTCGAACCTAAGACTTTTTTTTTTTGAAATCAATGAGTAAGTTAACGGTGAACTAACAGAAATTAACGAAAAAAATAATATTTAACGGAAAAGTTAACGGATTATCATATTCATTAAGGATAAATTAAGAAATCTTAAAGGGAAAATTAACATATGATCAATCTGAGCCATTCATTTGATTAAAAAATTTGACCACCATTTTTTCTACGCATTATGGGCCTAACTCTCTTGGGTTCTTATTAGTATACTAGATAGTAGATATCAATAGTTATGCTGTGTAACCGAATGTACCATGCGCATGGTGCATAGGATGCAAAACGACGTCGTTTTGACTAAAAACGTGCGTCCCACTTAAAAAAAAAATCATGTTCGATTCTGGGCAATAGCATTATTGTGGATATATAGTTATGAATTTCTGGATATATAATTATGAATTTCTGGATATTTAGTTCATTCATTGTGGATATTTAGTTCATTCATTGTGGATATTTACTTCATTCATTCACTGTGGATATATAGTTATGAATTTATGGATATATAGTTATGAATTTCTTGATATATAGTTATGAATTTATGGATATTTAGTTCATTCATTGTGGATATTTAGTTCAATCATTGTGGTTATTTAGTTCATTCATTGAGGATATTTAGTTCATTCATTTACTGTCGATATATAGTTATGAATTTGTGGATATATAGTTATGAATTTATGGATATATATAGTTATGAATTTATAGATATATAAAAATGCTATTGACGGAAATTGAACCTGATTTCTTTTTTAAGTGAGACGCGCGTTTTTTAACCAAAACGACGTCGTTTTACATCGTATGCACCATGCGCATGGTGCATTCAGTTGCATTGCATAATTTGCGAGTAGATATAGTATAGATATAGTATAGTAGATAGACATTTCTCACTATAAATATTACGGAGTATATTTTAATTTTAATTCAAGATCCGAATTACAGATATAGGAATATTTAAATGAAGTGTGACCCATAATACGAATATTTAAATGAAGTGTAACTGTTTTCAAAAAAAAAAAAAAAAAAATGAAGTGTAAATCACGTGCATGCTATCATCTTTTTCTGAATTCCTGCTATAAATTCTACCCAAGAACCCACAGTCCCACAGTTCCACACACTTCAACACATTTTTTCATTGAATCGCCCCAAGACCTCTTAACTTCTCAATATTTCGTTTGCACCCCAAAAATGAAGTTTTCACATTTTCTAATCCTCTCACTTTTGTCCCTCCTTTCCTTTGCCTTCACTGCACTCTCAAACCCACACCCCTTCTCGGATGGTGGAACGCCGTCTCTGGTTCTTGACGCCGACGGGGGAAGGTTGCAGGCCGGCGTTAACTATCTTGTGCTGCCAGTTATCCCCGGAAGAGGCGGCGGACTCTCGCCGGCCAACATCAACGAAAAGTCCTCCTGCCCGCGTGATATCATCCAAGAAGCCAGCGAGATTCAGACGGGTTTTCCGGTGAGTTTTTCGCCGGTTGATACCGCGACCGGTTCGGTTCCGCTGTCAACCGACATCAACGTGAAGTTCTTCACTCCTACGGTGTGTTCCAACGAGACGGTGTGGAGGGTCGGGAAGTATGACGAGGTTTTGAAGCGGTACTTCATCGTCACCGGCGGCGTGGAAGGGAACCCCGGGCCGGAGACAATTGCCAACTGGTTCAAAATTGAGAAATTGGAGTCGGATTACAAGATCGTGTTCTGTCCGAGCGTGTGTAGCATCTGCCAGGTTGTTTGTGACGATGTAGGAATCTATGTCGGAACCGGAGGTACTAAGTTCTTGGCTCTCAGTGATTCTCCGTTGGTGGTTAAGTTCAAGAGGGCCTTCCCATTTACTGCACCTCCAGTTTCTCACGGACCGCCACAGCCCGTTCCATTCTCCTATGCACCTCCGCCACCACCTGTGCCATTTCTCCATGAACCGCCGCCGCCGCCTGTTCCATTTCCTCATGCACCACCACCCCCTGTCCCAGAACCTCACGGACCGCCACCTCCTGTCCCAGAACCCCACAGGTCGCCACCGCCGGTGCCGGTACCCCACGGGCCGCCACCGCCTGTCCCAGAACCCCACAGGCCGCCACCACCTCCGGTTCCGGTACCCGCTGGACCCCCACCGCCTGATACTTCATTGGCGGTTGCTACCTTGCAGTCTCCTCCCTATGCTCGTCCTTTTGTAATTTTCGTTTCAGTTCTGCTTTTTCTAGGTTTGAGTTAGTTTTCATGATGTCTACCTACCTACTTTAGTTCCATACTTTTTTTTTTTTTTTGAAAAAGTGTCAAATTGGCCCCCTAAATCAAGTGGATAGTGCAATTGGGTTCTCTAAGTGAAAAAAGTTTCATTCAAGTCCCTTAAACCTGTAAAATTGTTCAATTAAATCCAATATGACTTGTTTAACAGGTTAAATCAATATGGTGTTGACACGTGTCTTTCTTATTTTATTTTTTAAAATAAATACTTTTTATTTATTAAAAATATTATTTTTATTAATTAATTAATTAATTAAAATAATAATAATACTTTAAAAATTAAAAAAAAAAATTATCCACCGGCTGTCCGCGCCAGACAGCTAGTGGTTGTCTTCTTTCTTGACGGACAGCCGTGGCCATCCACGGCCGTCTAAGGAAGTAAGGAAGACGGCCAGACGGCCATGGCCGCCTTCCTTAGACGACCGTGAAGAAGGAAGATAGCCACTAGCTATCCAGTACAGACAGCCGGTGGTTGTTTCTTTTTTATTTATTTATTATTATTATTATTATTTTAATTAATTAATTTATAATAAATAATATTTTTAATTTTTAATAAATAAAAACATTTGTTTTAAAAAATAAAATAAGGACACGTGTCAACACCCTATCGATTTAACCTGATAAACAAGTCATATTGGACTTAATTGAACAATTTTGCCGGTTTAGGAGACTTTAATGGAGCTTTTTTTACTTAGAGGACTCAATTGCACTATCCACTTGACTTAGGGGGCCAATTTGACACTTTCCCCCTTTTTTTTTGGGTACTTTGCATTTTCTTTACTCTTTTTCCTTTTTTATTTATTTATTTTGGTTGCACTTTGATTTGTAGAAGTAGGATTTGAAATCATGGTGTCTCATCTTAGCTCACTGGTTCGAGTAATGGGGAAATTATGTTTAAAATGGTCAGATGTGCATATCGTCACTTATTCTGTCTATTGAATCACTGAGTTAACATTATCACTAGTTAAAAAATCAATTTAGTTAATAATCAAATATTAACTTATCTGCTAAGTACTTTGTACTCAGATGACATGTAGTGACATCTCTCATGTGGTCGATCATCGAGTCTTAGTAGAGACATTAAAATTAGGTGGAGAATACGGGAGATGATATATATATATAGTCTTGTTTGGAAACTTGAAAAATAATTTTCAAAAATTGATTTTCAAAAAATATTTTGATCTTTTAGTATTTGGTTAAATGTAAGAAAATTATCGTTTTCTGTTTAATTGAAAGTTAAGAAATTGTATTTTTTTGGTTGTTTCATTTTCTTAAAAATAAATATCTTATTTGCTATAATAATAATAATAATAATATGTGGTGGTGGTGTGGTAGTACTGGAGGTGGTGGTGTTGGTGGTGTGGTAGAGCTGGAGTTGGTGGTGTTGGTAGTGCTGGTGTCATGGTGGTGGTTGTAGTGGTGGTGCTGGTGTGGTAGTGGTGGTAGTGATGTTGTTGTGTTGTGGAGTGGTGGTGATTGTGGTTGTTTGGTGGTTGTGGTGATGGTATTAATAATAATAATTCGAAATTAATTTTTTTAAAAAAAAAAGAGAGAAGAGAGAAGCAAAATAAAGAATTCAGAAAATATCTTATGACTAAAAAATTAGGAAGACATTCCGTGAAGTTGTGCTTTTTTTCCGTTATCAAAATTAATATTTTCCTTTGACTTCATTTTTCTTGAGTATTCAAACATTTAAAAATGAGTTAATTACCGAAATAGTTCTTTGATTATAGCAAAATTACTGATTTGGTCCTTAATTATTTTTTGACTAATTAAGTCTCTCAATTTTTAAAATCTTAACCAATTTGGTCTTTTGTTTGTTTTGCCGTTAGACATCCGTTAATTTGGGACCAAATTGATAATTTTGTTATAGTCAAGGGACCATTTTAGTCATCACGTGTATCATTTCTTCCGAAGAGTTAATTAGCCAAATGAGTTAATACCTAAAATGGTCATCGACTATAGTGATTTTTCTTAATTTTGTCTTAAACAACTTTGGTGACCTAATGTAGTCCAGACTTTTATGTTTTTCTCAATGTAGTCATTCGTTTATTATTTCGTCAAATTAGTGTTAAACAGAAGGATAATTCAGTAATATCAATATTGTGTTCTCTTTTAATTTATTTATAATGATTAAATAAATTACACCTCTTTTACGAATTGTCCCAGTAATCAGTAACAACTAAAATTACTAGGACAATTCGTAATCCGTAAAAGAGTTATATTGAAATTACTGGGACAATTCATAAAAAGATGGGTGATTTATCTAATCATTATAAATAAACTAAGAGAGACCAATATTGAAATTACTGAATTGTCCGTCTATTTAACACTAATTTGACGGAATAACAAACGGAGGACTACATTAAGCAAAAACACAAAAGTCTAGGATTACATTAGGTCACCAAAGTCGTTTAGGAAGAAATTGAGAAAATCACTATAGTCAATGACCATTTTGAGTATTAACTCTTACCGAAATGGTCCCTTAACTATAACAAAATTACTCATTTGGTCCTAAGTTAACGGACCTCTAACGGCGGCAAAACAAACGGATGATCAATTTGGTTAATATTTTTAAACTTGAAGGACTTAATTGATCAAAAAAAAAATAGTCAAGAACCAAATTAGTAATTTCGTTATAGTAAAGGGACTATGGTATAGCAACCGTCAGCGAATGATGCTAAGTAACCCACTCCCACGCGTTGAGTACAATAAATATAAGTATAGGAAATCATTTTGAAACTGGAATACATATATAGCCTTAAGCAACACTAGCTTTCAAATCAGGATCATGACTCAGAATATAACAACGGATCGACACCACAATACCACTAACATGCGTCCTATGTTTGCAAGGTATAATAAATAGGCAAACACATAATTAACAATTAAAGACGAGCAACGGGTTTCAATAACCATCAATTAGCAAATAAGCATCAGAACACACAATCCATCTTCCAACCTTATACCAAGTTCCAACATTTAGTCTTCTCCATCCTTATATCAGTGTCAACCTTTACCTCCAGGCCACCCTTATATCGCCTCCCTTATTCCTCAGGAGCAACTACATGCTCCACTCTGTAACCACCAACATGGTAGCACCGAAGTGTCATTCGCATAGTTTGTGCCTCTAGCACCACTACCAAGGGGTCAGCGCATATAGCTCTAACATGACACCGCGACGCTTATACCCTGACCCAAGCCTTTAGCCAGCAAGTCTAAGGGGTGGTCCGTGTCTTTAGCACGATAATCGATCACTCGTTGTGCATTCCGCCAACAATTCATTTCCACCAATCATAATCTCATTCTCATCAGTCACATCGATCATTGCGCAATGACCACGATACCCATCATCATTCAATCAATCAACCATGAAATCAACAATAACAATCAAGGCACATTAACAAACGACACACACTACACACAAATTACTAGAACAGTACTCAAAACATCATACGAGACTCATAAACGTCAAACGGGGTACAGCGGGACACGGGGAAACATCAAACGAGGGAAAACATCCTGCTGCACAACCATTTTCCCGCCGGCCACCCGCCGGTGGGCGTCATCTTTCCAGCGGGTGGCCAGCAAGCAGGCCACTGCCTGCCGGCTGCCCGCTGGAACTTGGGTAGCCGGGCAGCGGGTAGGTGGTGGGGACTCGTCCCCCCACCTACCCCCACTGGTACGAAGGTAGAATTCCCGTTTCGGTGTTCGTTCGTGGAACTCAAAACCATGTCCAAACACATTCTGACACGTAACAACAACACCACGGATTCAATTAACGAAGATTAAACCAAGAATCATTCCAATTACGTTCTAGCACGATTCCTAAACATGCCAAGACCCGACATCAATCACATAATGCAAAGCCCTAGAGACAAGTCCTAGGCTATACTCAACACCCGAGCATGCATAAACCCACCCAAGAATATCACAACACGATATTAACGATATAAACCCTAGGGACAAGCTCTAGACATAATTAAATACAAGATCACACATATAATCAATCACAACATCAAGATCATCAAGATCATCAAGATTATCAAATAAACACAACATAAACCCTAGGCAAAGCTCTATCAAGACTCAATCACATAATCACACATCAAAGGAGCTAATAATCAAGATATAGCAAGGAAAGTAGGTTTTGTAAGACATGGGTTACCTCTTAGCCCTAATCAATATCCTTGGCTACTAAGGTTCTTCTCTAAGATCCTCCTCCAATTGATCTTCCTAGGTTCGGTGGTGGGGAATTCTTTTGCTAGATTTCCTCGGGGAATGTCTCGCGTGGTATAATTAATTGTGGTAGGGTTTTTAAATACTTTCTAATCCCCTATATATAGATCCATGAGTCCTAACTATAGTCTGAATAGTAAAGGCCCAATTTCCCTATTCCTAACGGATTAAAGACTTCATTAAGGATAAGGGTCAATGATCCATTGTGGACCACACTAATTAACTAATGGGAATTCTAGTCCAATTAAATTCTTTTTAATTATACATTAACGAAATTAGTTCCATAATTAGTCCAGGTTCGGAGGCCGTAACACGGGGTGTTACACAAACGCTATGCCGCCAAGAAGAGTTAGAAAAGAGACTCCTCGTTTCTTGGGACCAGGAGCATCATCGTCCACTGATCTGACCGGGAGCTTACACCAGCTTACGCAGCTGACTGAGACCATCGGAGCCGCTGTGCTAAATGGGAACAATGACGACGGAGATGTGTCTAGAAAGATCACGGGACGCAACCCACCGAGCTACTTGGGCCAGGAGGACCCCGAGATCCTTGAGAGTTGGATCCGTACGTTTGACAAGCTGTTCGACGTTGTTGGCTGTCCAGTAGACCAGCGAGTAGAGGTCGCTGTGTACTATCTTCAAGAAGAAGCTGATCACTGGTAGGTAATGGAAGGACCGACCTTTAAGGAAAGAGAGGGATTCAATTGGGAAATGTTCAAGACAGTGTTGAGAGAGAGGTTCTACCTAGAGTATGTTAAAGCTGCGAAGTATGATGAGTTCTTGCATCTAGAGCAAGGGAGATTGTCAGTTCAGGAGTATCACGCCCGCTTTGTGGTGTTGTCTCGTTTTGCTCCTACCTTAGTACCGGATGAGGCTAGCAAAGCCCAA